CCGTGGACCAAGGGAGCTCAAATTTGATGGGTGTGCAGGCGATAGGATACTTTTCATTTTGGTACTCTAACAAGTCGTCGGTAAGCGGTAGTGGGCGTGTGGTGCACGCGTTAGCGTGCGTAGACCAACTGGTCAGATATAAATGGTAAAAATAGAGGGACTTTGGCATGGCGCTCCTCAATCGAATGCTTGCGGTGTTGCTATATCGCCGCGCCTTCCCGCAAGATGTTACTTAACTCGTATCGTTACGTCATCACATTCAAATGGCAAACTAAATGAGTAGACTTCGTCTTGACGCTCCGCTGCTCAGCGTTTGACCTTCTGCGATGTCGTTATACAATATAACCATTCGAAGCAGCTATATCAGGAGCCAGTCGTATAGATTCCTGTCGTTATTTGGCACCTCTGCTCGCATTTGCAGTTCCTTATAGCTGCGTTCTCAAGACACGAGGATAAGATGTGGCGTGAATCAAGATGTTCTTGGATCTTGCTTTTCTGTACCACTTGACAATGAGCATGCCAGAAGACCGTTTCGCTTGCGTGGTTATACGGTGAAGTCAACCATCTCGTGAGGTTTCTATTCCTAGAGGCGATCCACACCCTTGACGTCGGCCATCGAGTCAACCACTTCGTCGTAAGTTCTATTGACTAGCCAGCTTTTCAACGAACGGTTGACATGTTGATTCAGATAAGTTAAATCGGTTAGTATGCCGAATTTAGGAGTAGTTCCCATTCCTGACTTGGCTTCTCTGACTCTTCCATCACCGAAAAGTTCGTTGAGATCGCGAAATGACTGTGCGACCATCCAACCTTCCTCGAAGTAGTAAAGATAATGTGGCGAATGTGAAGAGGACTTCTACACATATTCCTGTAGAGGAAAACGAGCAGGTTATTCCTGTGAAAAATCCGAATCTAAAGTTCGAATAGTATCGATAGAAAAGGAGCAGCGAAAAAATGGGCAATAATTATGCATCAACCTAATAGTGTACAAATGCCTAGGTTCTACGACGGAAAAGTTGGAATTTGTATAATCGGAGGTTTTGTGTGGCTGATGTCGCTATTGTTCCGAGATTCAACGCGGAATCGGACCGTCGTCTACTCCGAACTGGATTCCCCTTTTTAGTGCGTGCAGAGGGAGTTGAGAATTTCAGGAAGCAAAGCCCCTAGCCCGTCATCGACTGGTACCACGTCGCCTATCTTCGAAGACCCTTAAAGTCACAGTTCACGATAATTTTGAAGTGCCCCTTCCAGTTTGGGAAGCGGAAGTGTTTATGTCGAGAAGTACATCCGTGACAATTAAGCGAAAAACCCGCCTATTCCAAGGCTTATTGGAAGTAGTGGAAGTGGAGGTTGCACGAGATCACCGTGACGGTAATGCCATGTAAGGGGTGTTTGGACGAGATTTAACTTGCTTCCGTTGCTCAAAGAGATGACCACATCAAGCCGAAATTGTCCGAAACTGCCTTTCACTGTTGCCATGGGTTATGGCAAGCTGTTTGAACTCCCCACCTGGGAGTCCCTTGAGGTATTGCAAACTCTTTAAAGCCGTTGAAACTCGTCCACTATGGGTGTGGCATTTACATGATACAGGCTCTGGCCCATCATTGTGCCCTATTTAGGACGTTTTTCGACCTTATAACGGCAAGTATGGTATAAAGGGAAGCCTCGAATAATAGTATAGGAAAATCTCGGAAACCAATCTTATCGTGAATTGTGCTTTTAAGCTGATAGACCAGCGTGGATTCGCGCAATCTACAGACAATCGTCAACAAAAGTGCTTGCGGAGCGCGCACTTTTGCGGTCAGAATTAGGCTCGTCACTCGATACCCTGTAGGAAAGAAGTGTGACCACAGTAAGGGGAAGTAGCAAGATCTAGCAAGATTGCGTTGCTGTATAATAAGAAAGATCCAGACGACTTAGGATAGTATCGCCCATTTTCCTGCTGGCTACAATCTATAACTTTTCACACGAGTCAGGATTCTTACAGGATTGGTGCAATGCAAGCAAGCGTAGTTTCGCCACACTATCACAAAACTCACGCGAAGTTACAAAATGCCGTTATGCTTGACGCTCATCGATCTGAACAAAGCTTTTGATACCGTCAAGACAAAAGCGGTAATTGGAGTGTAAGGCAACCAATGCACCATCTTGTCCAAACATTCCAATGCCGCTTTCGAGAAAATTGTGCCAATTGGAATGGGAAGACTTGGGAGTGGAGGTCGACGGCTGTTACTCACATCACCTTTGGTCTGCCGAGTACATCATCAACACAACACGAACCTCGAGCTGGCGGGACAATGCTGGCCGAAATCGACAGTACTTGTGGTAAGATCGGCTTAGGAGTGAACCTACCAAGGACGATGTTATGAGGAACAACAAGCATTGGCACCTGGTGTTCCTTTTACACTGAACGGCACAAACATCTCTGAATGCTCTAGCTACGTGTATCTACGTAGAAATACAACATGATGAAAAAACCAGCTCCGGTGCTGAGCAGATGGAAAAGCGCGGCGTGGAGAGCATTTAAGAATATTAATGGAGTAGTGAAGAAGACAAAGAACATCTGGGTCGTGCTCACATTTTCGGCACTGCAGCCCTTCCTCCTTTGACGTATTCTTCAGAGACTTAAGGTTAGACTCCACGATAGCAAGATGACCATGCAGTCAGCGTCATTCAACGCGCCTCGGAAAGGACTCCTTTGCGGAAGCTCCGAACGAAGGGAAGCTATGCCTCGTGTCCGTCGAGCGAGGACGATCTAGCAAACCACTGCTGCTCTCGACAGGAACGAATGGAAACATTGAGGAAATCGATTAACAGAAAGACATGATGCAGGTGATTTTTTCGCCGTAGTCTGCCACCACACGCCCTTTACCCATTTCAGAAAGTCTTTTGTGAATAGAATTCTGAGAAGGTAATAGTTTTTTTTTCGGTAGTCCAACTTCCGACTGGCCCGGTAAAGCGTTCTTAAGTCGAGTCCATAGAAGGGAATTGTACTGGAACATTGCAGTGCTGTTGGAACTCGTATGCCATTAATTTTTCCTTTAAACATCTTATTTGCAAACTTTTTCCTACTTTGCCCTGCTATTCTGAACCAGCTAAGAGCTTGCAGCCTTTGAATCAGTCATTGAATTCAGTCATTGAACCTTATACGCTTTGTGTTACTGTTGGAGTCAGCTGCTTCAACTTATTCCGCTCTATAGGGTTTAGTGTAGCTGGTCGAGATCGATCTCCTTACTGATGACCCTGATTAAATAGCTATATAAAGAAGGCAAGGGGCAAGGAGCCTTTCCAACGCTGGTAAAGCGCAATGAACGTATTCACCCATTAGAACCACTTCGCAACTATTCGTATCCGACCCATACATGTGCTATCAGTTCTGCTTGCTGGCATCTGTCCTCCATCCGAATCACTTTTGCTAGCACTTACATCACCTCTAGAAAAGCACGCTTTTACTATGATCGTGAAAAGGCTGCTCGCCAACGTCAGAAGCCTGGACAGGCGTAGCTCAGTGTTCAAACATTCCTGACTGTCCCGTTCAACCCTCTCTTCGCGGGCGATTCTGGAGAAGAAATGATAGTGTGTACACTTCAAACTGCATGATAGTAGTATTTATTGACAATCCTCTGGTAGATTTATAGGAACGGTCCGGTTCTGTATCAAAAGGGATAGGGAACGCAATTGCACAAACGATGAAAACTGCCCGCAGCAGTTTGTTACAACGATAAACCAGACTCTCAATTCGGCGGTTCGCATACAATAAATAAATTGCAAGCATATAAGTCTAATTCGATTCTATGTGAGCCTCGAACTGAGTGGATACAGGCGGTGTTTAAAATTTCTCAAACTTCGTTCAACGAAAGGAAACATCACACCGCGACATTTCCAAGATAAAAAAACGAGAGCAGGATACCTACTTTTAGAGCACGTGACGATGACAAAGTAAACAAGACAATGGGAAAAAATTGATCGTGCTTTCAACTAACACCTTGTGAAAGTATAAAACGGTAGCTATGCAGTCATTAGTACAATCAAAAACCGAACAAAAACAACAAATAACACGAAGTCTGCACGGTAGGATCTGATGGTTGAGCTATATAGAAAAATGGGTGGGGAGAAGAAATTACCATATGTAAAACCCGAACTACAAAAGAGTGGTGATGGAGCGAAGTAAACTAGGATCCACAAAACAGAAGGGCTTGAATGGGTAGAAGGGCATGGCAGCCCATGAAGAATGGACACTTATCTGGCACAATTACGGCAGTGCTTTTCCGTGACACCATCTCGACGAGCACTGATGTGTCACTTCACGGAGATTTTCAGAAAAGAGTCGTAAAGAGGGTCTATAAACAAAAGAACTCGAACATCGTTGTGTTGTGTTCGACTTCTGACACTACTTTGCACGTAGATGGTGTCAAGCGGTAATGCTCATCACTGAACTCTAGTCACTAACTACCATAGCACTAATACAGAGTGGTCCACAAGTCGAACAGTCAAGAATCGAGGAATAGTGGCATCAGTCAATCGCTGTGCGACTTATGAGACGTTCCACCCACAGAAAACAAACGCATTAATGCATTTTCACCTGAACACTGCTTATCAACATCTACTTGTAGCAACTAGGCTGTAATAGTTGTGAAGGCTCCCTAAATAGAGAGAAAAATAGAAACCTCCCCTTAGGTTAAGGACAGTACATCCCACACGGCAGCTCCCCCTAAAAACATGCAAACATAAGGCAAATACAACATGGACAATACAATTGTTACAACGCTGGTACGATGAGATGACCAGCTGGTTAGACAGGCGACGCTTTATCGTTGTCTTTGTCCTTGAGTAAAGGTTGACTCTCCGACAGATTTGTCGACGACCCATGAGGAGACGGTCGAATCACCTGCAAAACGTTCCAGATGAGTTGCGCGATTGAACATTAGTGGAATTCTCGTGCTCAACCTCAATGGGCAGTAGTTACAACGTGAACGAATTGGGGGAAACTTTTGATGCATGAAAGCTCTCGGACTGGATTCTTGGTGGCCTTTCAAATAAGTACATATCCAAGTATCGAATTGAACCACTAGTCAGTATAGGTAAAAACAGGTAGCGTACTGATGGCCGGGCAATCTTAAAGCTATGACGACTGTCAGTCATACCAGGCCAGAAGCGCTCTACGAGTAAAAAGTATATAAAAAGTTTGTCGTGATACCGGTTTGGACTCTGGCGATTCCAATCACATTAACGGACGCTCAGAAGGGGCCGACCCGCAATGGGTTGTTTGAAATTTCATAGGGCATTGCAATTCGCTGCAAAACTTGAAGCTAACTCTGTAAAGCGTCCGTGGTGCAAGCCAGCCCGCAGTAGATTTCGTTGTTTCATAATTACAACCCCGATCTGTTGTCCCAATTCTGGAAGAAATACTGGATGACTCATGGTGGTCAAAATATCTCTGGGAAGCGATGTCTTTCAGGCAACCGTGTTAAAGCATACAGCGCACGAAAGTAACCACAGAACGACCGTTGTTCATGCAAGCAACGAGCAAGCTGATCCACGGCTGTTCCTTATGATGCTTTTTAGTTTTTTCCCAGTGAGTAGGGAAACCTGATACCCTTTCTTTATGGATAAGTTTGATTGATTGAAAGTTTACCTTCTACCCTAGTTTGTTGAAACCACAGAAGAAACATGTTCATACTCACTCTACTCAAATAGCTTCCAAGGAGTTTCCTGAGCCTAGACGGTAATGATTTAAAGCTTCAAAGTAGGTAAGCTCGTGCAGCTCACCTACTTCTTTATTGCAATATGTAGCAGCTCTATGAATACTGAAACCTGCCCTGGCTGTGAATCTAATTCTAATCTCTATGAGTTAGTTCAAAGCTATAAAGAGAAATGTTCTCACTGATAGTGGTTAGGAATAAGCTTTTCATGATTTACTCAGTTAGTCAACTTGCCAGCTTATGTCTGGCTACGGTTTGTATGGAGCCATTCCAGCTTGAATGGACCAGGCAGGTTAGATCAATGGATTCTCGACAGGAGATTTTAACGAAGGAATTCATGGGAACAAAAGTTAGAATCGCAAGTAGAAGATGGTGAAGAAAAGAAAACGCTTCAAACTCGAATCCGTTCTGTATGAACCCATGAAATGAAATGATGGGTTGATAGGAGTGGGTCCTCAAGAAGACACATACTATATGAATGAGTTTGTCCATTTCTGAGAGAGACAGATTCTAATTGTAAGTTGGTTTCAAAGATTTTCTAAAAATCCTAAGCTTCTGCCAATAAGTTTAAAAAAATTTCACATGCAGGTTTCCACCAAAAGGAACAGTCACGGTCTGGCAGACTTCAATTCACGACGCAAATAATATAGCGAGCTCATCAGTCTTAACCCCATGCTCAGCCTTCTTCGCCCAACGTGACACAGTGCAAAATTAATCGGATCAGCTGCATCCGAGATAAGTCAGTTCATGGATGTTGTATTGCATTGCGCAATGAGCGAAGAAAAGTGAGCGAAATTTTTAGCTGACTGTGTTCAGACGGATGGGGGGCTCGACTGGCATTCACTTCATCGTAACAGGGGCAAGCAAGAAAAGACCACTACCACCACTCCAAACAATGGTATTCAACGACGTCATCATTCATAATTGCACTAACCGTGCAGACTTGTTTGTCAGCCAGATTAGTTGTTTCCCATTGACTAAACTATTATCACAATCAAAAGGGAAAAGTTAATGTGGAATAGAGTATTGGCGAATGATAGGTGCCACGTACCTTTATCATGATTGCATCCTCGTCCTCTTCAGGCGTTTCTAGAGGAGCCTCATTTTGCCTGAAATTCTCACATTTAAAGGGTAGTTTGTATCAGTCGTTTCGCTGATTGCATAAAGTGAGGAAAGGCCAGTTGCAGGTAAAATTAGGGAGTTCTACATAGACCTACCAAAATTTCCTGGTAGGTGGAATTCGATGTGGTTGGGTAAGACACGCGGGACTAGCAACCATCTAGAAGGGTGCCTCACATGTTTCGGAACTGCGCAAACTCTTCACTTTGCGGTCCGCGCACGCTAAGAAATGGGAGTACTTGTTAGTACTAGCAGATCAGCAGTTCATCAACAGCTCCCACATCCTTAGTACGCACTCCAAGAAGATTGCTTTCAAATATCTGGGTTTTTGATAACTTGCGTCTCAGTCTAGTAAAGTGGTTCTTTCGTCGGACTTTATTCAAAGACGTATACACTCATGACTCTATCAGCGACAGTGAGCCCATAAAAATGGTTCCCATTCCACCCAAAGTACAGTAATTCTTGAGACAGAGCAGTCCTACATAAAATGGGTACAGCTTCGTTCTCAATTTATCTTACTCCCCACAGATTGAGCCGTGCGCTTTTTTTCCTATACCACTTTAATACCACGTCGTTAGTAAACAGTTATATATTCAGATCGAAGACATGAGTAGGAAGACAGGTTTTACTAAATAATGGATCTAAAGTGCACCAGGCAAATTAAGCAAGGAAACACTAAACAGATGTACTTACCGAATCAAATAAGCAACATTTCCCATGACCTATAAAAGTCACAAAATGAGAATAAGACTCACACTGCTGTTTTCGGCATCTCCTTATCGAGAGAATTTCTTGAGTCCCGAGAACTGATGTGCTTCCACATACCACTGCTATTTACCTTGAAGTACAGAATGTTACCAAACTATGGACATAACGGCAATAAAGTCTAAACCTCACTTCTTTCGTCATATTAATGGAATGGCTTGGCTCTTGTATGGCGGCCAACGGGATCTTTATCACGTTGCCACTAGCCATTGGGATATGAAGATGTGCTTCGGTTTTCACCGCATGAATGGTAGCCTGATTGTCCTCCAGTTCAATGTCAACCGGTTCTCCCTGAAAAGCTCCACGGATTGCAGTGGCCTAAAAGGAAGCTATAAAGTCCCACTACGCTCTGTCGCCTCTTCAGGTCTTCCTTCTTTCTAAGATGGAAATCAGGCATTGGGTCGTCCAAGTACTTCAGATCAGTCGCTGTGAAGAACTTCTCCATCAGCTTTCTTACAGCAACCATCACAACCAACTGAAATCAGAAACTTATTCATTAGAACTCAGCAAACACGAAAATACCCAAGCTTTTGTTGTCTCCGATAAAGAGAACACAGGGATTGTAGCCCCTCGATAGTAGCTTCTTTGAGCCATGCTCAGGTCTTCGAAGAGAACAACCTAGCCTCCTAGTCTTTAGTGGTATAGCCACCGAACAACCTTCGCAGCTCGAAAATGGCATATTATAATGCCCAAATTCTAACTGAATGAACAATAGGGTCTACTTGACAGAACACTAGAATATTGGCTTTGTATTTCATTTGAAGCCCACTTAACTCAAAAAAGAGCTCAAGCATTTTTGAACGTGAGTGTATACCACTTTAATTTATTAACTTTTTTCTCATCCTTCAAGGACCAAGCTCCTATGGAAAAGGAAGCAAGAATGAAGAAAACATTGAGGAGACAGGACACATACAAGTGACGACTTACCATAACAGGGAACGTTAGCGAAGTTGTTTTGATGGATTTCACCGTCCACAATACGCCGAGACATCCGACTTGGAAGGCCGTGAACAAATGGATCTTCTTTATAGGTACGTGACGAATATAGATGGTATCAGGCTGGTACCTGGAAAATCCTTTTTAGCATTACATCTGGACTTTTCTATGATATTTTATTCGCAAACGGTATCAATTTATTTTACGGGCTTTGATATAGGCATTAAGTCGAAAGATGTTACATTTGCCTGTCGCGAAACGTTACTTCCTCACGTTCGCCTCGTTTACCGGTTGAGTGATTATTTGAGTTCAGGAACCATCTCCCACACTCGGGGTATACTTGTTCAAAAACTCACTTCATTGGCATCAGAAGTAGGAGGATACGGTCGAACAACTGAATTCCACCCAGAGCCGATATACCCATGTAGAGGAAAACACCGTACAGCACAGGCATCGGGATTTTTCCAAGGAAGTTTGTTATGAGTACAGACAAACCAATCATAAGGAATGTCACTATACCAGTGACACGTTGCTCTCTGAACAGAAATTTCTGCCTATACTAGATCTGTCAGACTAAGCAGCGTAACATCACACGTACCGCACTCCAATGAACTGGGCTACTTCTCCGGGTGCTTTGCACTCACTTTCAACCTTCAGCGAATTGATGTGATTGATGGAAAGCACGGTAGCAGCTACGTAGATTGGCAGACCGAGTACACCAACGATGAATATAAGGATAGCCAATACGAGTAAATCCAAGTGATAGCCACAGCCCTAAAGCACTTAGCAAGTAAGTGTAACCTGAGCGATGGCTGAATGGTTCTTGCACCTACTTTCTTCAGCTTATTTTCCTTTCGATTCACTATAACGGTGGTGATTTGTTGATCCATGAATATCAGAATACATGCTAATAAAGCAGGTAAAGCCGCCAGAGGGGCTGTCCATAAAGGGTTTCCATCAAATGGCGGAATGAACCAACCTCGGCCATCCCATGTAGGCTGGAAATTTTCGATGACTCGATCAAGAAAAAAAAATAAGTAAATGGTATAAGAAACGAGGTGATGGCCCTACTATGTAAACAGGTAAAAATAAGTCGAAAGGACTCACACGGAACGAGCTTGGCACATTCAACTTTGGAGTGTTTATGGCTGCTCCCATATCGATCAAAGTCATTATGACGATGGATATCATTACAGCAAAATCGCTGAATATTTGCCTAACTCGTGAAGGGAAATAGCATGAATTGCGCATTCTCTGAAAATGCATGTACGTTGGCAGGATCCTCATGGAACAGAAGCACTATCTACATACCTACATATGTAAGTCTTTACTACTACAACTATGGGAGTTGGTACAAAAAGACTCTGACACTCTTGTGACATGGGGTATGCTACTGATTTTTCGAAAAGATGGTCAAAGACAGAATTTCAGAATTAGCATTCACTTCTCGTTGCCAGCAGGTTGTTTCAGATGGTGGCAACCTTACTAATTGTTGTCTCAAGCGGTCGTCAGCTTACCAAATCTTAAGACACTCTTTCCCCTACGAGGGCAGGGTGCGTAGACGAGGTTATGCGCCACGATAGGCGTGGTCTGGAATTCTCCTGGAAGTCCTTGATTGATGGCCGTCTCGATTGATACTCACCCCTAAACTCATACCACCCCGAGCATCATACTACCTGGGAGAGTACGGCAGTGAATTAGACCCTGGGTATCTAGTTGCTTGTTTGTGCGTTTGTGGGTGAGGAATGGTGTTTGGCAGGCTTCATATCTCCTGTTCCCCCGAACCAGGATTGTTCAATTTTAGAAGGGATATAGACTGCAGATCAGGAACATCGCCATTGACGACAGTATGAATGAATATAGATAAGAACTGAACGAAAGCTCAGAAGGCGAGATCCACTGACTCCATAACGCTGTTAGTGCTATTAGTCAAAACACTGCTCTTTGGTAGACGATATAGGATATAATTTTTGACGACAGACGGAAAGTGATGCAACTGAAAGAACCTTGCCTTGAAAGTGATGGCCAATGTAAACGTTCCAATCGTAAGGAGAACCGACATCAGCAGTTTGTCATATAACGGATAGCACGTTGTTCCTCCATAAGAACCACCAACATATCTGCAGTGTTCCAGTGGTGCCTAAAAGCTTTGTAATTATAGAAATACATAGGAAATGCTACAGAAGGTCCTATCATTTGTTTGCTTTTCTTTGTTTTTATTCGGACATCGATTAATTCTGCAACTTTTTTGGATACATCACACCCATTTATCACTCAAGAACAGGCATCAAATAAATCATCATTGCAAAATGCTATACGGATTCTACAGATCCGATTTCAATGGGACGTTTTAGAAAACACAAATGAAAGGCTTGCTTTTCCTACAAATTCCAATTCTATGTTTCTGTTTTTGGTGGGTACTACTACCCGAACATAAGAAGCATCTATGACATTTGTCAAACATTAGTGTAGCAGAGAAGTTCATATAGAAGCTAATAAAATGTGAAACTCACAGCGGCGTAGTCGATGAAGGTTTTATTGTGCGCGATAGCAAGGCCTTGCTTCGAANTTCCTACAAATTCCAATTCTATGTTTCTGTTTTTGGTGGGTACTACTACCCGAACATAAGAAGCATCTATGACATTTGTCAAACACTAGTTTAGCAGAGAAGTTCAGATAGAAGCTAATAAAATGTAAGAAACTCACAGCGGCGTAGTCGATGAAGGTTTTATTGTGCGCGATAGCAAGGCCTTGCTTCGAAATGTACTCACCGGCTTTTTCGATAGTTATGAGTGCTAAAAAAGGACGCTTATAAACATGCAATGTTTTGGGAAACGAGCAGTCAAAGAACGTACGCTTTCCACTTGGTGGTTCACAAAAGCATGTTCCTTCGACGGCATCACGGCTATAGTTTATTACATCCAGCTGAGCTGAAATGACCACGAGCAGTAGTGCTTCCCTATATTGGAAGGAAGAAAGATTTTTTGAAGTTAGATGAACTTGCTTCAGAGTATGTACTACACAAACTAGCAAGCTTTCAATAAGTAGATTTCCACATGGAATTGATAACTCAAGTACTGACTTCAGCCAACAGTGACCAACTTTCACGATTAAGAAAAACCATTTTTCATTGGAGCCCTAATTTCAAGACGAAGAAATCACCTATAACCGTCGCAACTACACAATTATGACCCCAAACGCTATTTACAGGCTAAAAATTTTGAAAAGAAGCTGCGATCGCATCAATGAGATGAGTTATCTGATAATGTCTTGTAATTGATTATAGATTAACGCAGACTTTAGCCTACACTAGGCTTCGCAGAGATTTCCGCTGCTTTTAATTCAGCTCTGAAGAGCAAAGCTTCAGGGAAACTCATGAAAACATCGTAATCAGAATGCCCAAAAACTTTCGTAGGCTTTTATGCAGAATAAAAAGAGAAAACAGAGTGTTATTTCGAACAAAGCTTGCACAGTTGTTTTATAGCTAGTTACCTAGCTTATACTTACTTTCTTGTCAACATTCAACAGTTTTGAGTTGTTTGTGAACAAAAAGCATTTATCACCTCCAGTGCTACATCCTTTGCCACAGGGTACATGTTGTGAACTCCTCAGGCACAAATCTTGACCTGACAGTCCCTACTTTTATCGATAGATTGGATTGAAATTTATCTCGAGCGGCTATGATTGTTTGAGAATGTTGAAACATTGCTGGATATTCAGATTTTCTCGGACAACCTTTGACCACTAAGGGTAGAATCGAATACTGTCCTCTCTCATATTGTTAGATTTTCTTAGTTATAACCAGCAATTATTTTGAAAATAATAGGTACTTATCAGGTTTCTAACATTGAAAAATGGGCAAGGAATCGTGAAAGAAGTTCGCGCGACACGTTCAATGCAAAGAGGCTCACAACTACCTGGGGTTAAAAACCCAGAGTGGACCTACTGCTCACGGCCACCGGACTAATTATAAAATTGCCCTCCAGTCATAGTTTCTTCAGGAGCGTCGATGAATTCATACACGATTCAGAATCCTACGTCCACAGCATAGGATATGCCAGGCCAAACAAGCCGAGCTGAATTCTGTTTCAGTTCAAGGGTTCTAACATAGCAATGCGGCTGTCCTGTGCTTCAGAACTCGTAATCAAATAAGCGAGACGCAGTTACTACGGACTGACTGACTAGTACTCAAGAGGTAATTCTCGAATATAACTTCTGGTACTCCTTTCAGGAAGGGACCTATCCCGAACATCGAAACGCCCTGCCAGGCTGCAGATTATCTGGGTCCACACGCGCTGAACGAGTTGGTGGAATCAATATAAAACCTATTCTTAAAACTTTTCTATCGAAAGATCACTGATAATTTGTTTGGGACTTGTGATTCATTCTCTAATAATGTTCGATAGATAATGATATCTGTTTTCATATAAAAAATGTCTCAAGCAGTTTCTCACGCAATATATAAATTATGATGCTTTGTTGATCGTTTCAAAACTCACATTTGATCTTCCATAGCTTCATGATGGCTTCGTAGATGAAAATCACAGCAATCAACGTAGCAAACGACTCCTCTGTGAAGCGAGTGATGTATGACACCTAGAAGTGACTGAATGTTAATCTTCAAAGCAGAAATCGACATAACAGGTCGTGGTTCTTCTTGCAATATGGATAACTGAAGGCAACAGTCCAATGCAAGACAACCCACGACTTGTTTATTTCGATTTCTGCTTCATACTGATTAAATCAACACTTTAGAGAGACCAAAGTTTCGAAGCCCACTAAAGGGCAGTGTGAATACACGTTAAGGGGGCTATTCCAGTGTACAAAACGAATACGACTCTGGGAAGGAACGCTGGAAAATATTCAAAAGACCCAATTGTGTGATGACTGCCATAAATATCAAGAGGAGAACTTCCGCAAGTCTCCCTTTTGCTCTGTAATAACTCTTGAAGGTTTCGCAAAAATCTCTGCTCCTTTTGCCCAACCGCAAACATATTTTCACAACTTCACTTGGCCACTTACTTTTGTTGCATATAATCAATGACATTATTACGAAAACGTCAAAAGTCTGACTCACAAGAGCACTGGCATCAGTAATGCACATTATAAATATGATCGTGGCGGTCCAGACGTGTACCTGAACATGCTGTTTCATTTCCATCTTTCATTCGTTTGCCGAAATGGAACTGTTCTAAGGATGAGGGTGAGCGAAAACAAAAACATTACCCACCCAAAAACGAAAACTGAGGTATTGGATGCCGAGCCTCAAGCAGAAATCATACACGATCGTTTCAAAAACCAACACCGGACCAGTGGATCCAATGATTGTCAACGGCTGTCCGGAGAACAGATGGTACACCACGCCGCATATGGCACCTATGATTCAGGAATCTGTATCAGAATTGAAGTGCAATTAAAAGAAATGCAACAATATTCGGAATGCGAGGCAATTGCCAAGATTCTCACGCGTACTCGATCAACATTTGAGTAAACCACACCTCTTCAAATGTTTTTTATCTCACGCGTCACCAAAGTTGTACTACCCCGGAACTTCAGAAATTGTCAGAACGACCTAAATTCCGTGCTCAACGCACTCTTCGAACTTCTTTCAAGTTTCACCAAAGATCCTTATTTCCATTCCGGTTTCTATGCTTCATGATAACCCTAAGCACGAAAATAAAATTTTTCGCATGTTTTCAAAAGACCTAAATCCATTCCCACGATCCGTACACATTCACAGACTCAGTTTTATTCCAAAATATCCAGAATACCCATGTTTCCAAACTAAGGGAAATTATATCACGGTTAATTACGTCATGGACGGTCAAAAGCAATACTAAGAGCTGATGTAGAATTTGCCCTGAAATTTTGAACGCGTTTCATAGTAATAGCTTGACACTCCTTGCCCTTCACAAGATAATTCTGCAGTGAGCTAGTTCGGCCTCGCCTATGTTTTTGGTGCACGAAAGAAAAAAAAGCACTAGATACCATACTTTCCCTCTGCGAGAACCCACCTCCGAACAGATTTTCCATTGCCGCCATCCGTTGATGAGTAGCCTCTTCGAGCAGTCCTCCAAATGTAACGATCGGAGCCAAAAGGGCGAAATACATAAAGCAAGTTGTAGCCAGGCATTGCAAGTTGAACGCGTCAGTAAAGTCACTGATGAAATGCGGTGCCTGACAACGAGATAGATAATACACGACCAGAGTCTTCCTTCAGTTGAGCTTTCAAAATCAGGAACTCTTAAAGCAGACTTACTTTTCGTTTGATATCCAATATCAGGCCACCAAACAAACGACCAGTACGTTTCAAGGCTGGGTCGCTGCCATGTCCTGGAAGATACACACTTCATAAGGCCTCTAGAAGTCATGTTCGAAGTGAATGGCTGAGGACCTTATACGGCTTCAGGTTCCTCCCTTCCCCTAGTGTGATATACATCTCTCTTGCGCAATTCGAGGTAACGGACAAATCTGATCAACTGGTATAGAAGGATGGAATATGGAATTGTAAGTGTGCACCTCAGCGGTTCGAGATTCAACGGAATCTTTAACCGACGAAGCTAAACATGGCGGAATGAACTGTGGGTTTGGACATCAAAGTGAAGCTTGTCATTTGCCATTTTTGCTGTTATTACTAGGTCTTCGAACTTTATCCATGGCTAATAATATCAGAAGGACCCCATGCAATTAATATCAGTAGCTTATGCATACTAAGACAATCCTCGTAATCAATAATTTCGAAAGTATGTAAGAGCACAGTTCACGATAGAAATGAGATGAAATACGAGATAGGATCTGTGGCCCTTTATACCACCAGAAAACGGTCTAGATAGGGCACTATAAAGGCTCAAAGATTGTCTCGTGTGTAACGAGTTTCAACGGCATTGTAAAGACTGAGCCATACACAAGCGAACCCATGTACTAACCATAAGTCCAAGCTACTTGTCATGACCCATAGCGACAGTGAAAGGCAATTCTGGACGTTTTGGCTTGATGTAGCTCTTTGCGCGATTGCAACAACTAAAATCTCGTCCACATACCCTTTTCATGGCATCCCCTCACGGTTACCTCGTGCAATCTATACCTTCACTACTTTTGGGATGCCTTAATTTTCACGAAATCAGCGAATTCTCCTGCTTCCTCCGCCACCGATACACTATTCCCAACCAATATTTTCGCTCTTCGACTTCAAAAGGGTACCTCACAAATACTGTGAAGTGCGCCTTTAAGATCATGCATAAAATTGATGCAGTGAATGGACAATCCTACCTTCCTCTTCTTCCATTTCTTCCTTCCCTTTGCCAGTCTTTTTAGCCAGTTCAACGCCTTCCAAAAGCATCTCTTGACCTATCTTAAAGAAAAGCATAGAAAAAATAACGAGGGAATGGGTTTATCTAGTTAAATTAACAAATTCAAGTAAGAAAGAGAAATCAGATACTAAGGTCATTATGTTTTCCTAAATATTACCTGCTTCCTTTTTTCT